AGTTATACTGTTTTTTTTTCTTGAATAATAATCGGAATCGGTTTTGTTAAGCAGTAAATAAGTGCAATAGCTGACAGAGCAAATTGACTAAACTGTAGTATAACTGAAAAAAACGGCAAATTCTTTTAAGGTGGTTGGTGAGTTGAAAAAGTGAAGTTAAATATCGGTTGTTTGTTTAAGTAGTTGACTGTCGCCGTATTAGTCTCATCAGATTAAACCCTTCAGTAGTTTTGAGGTCAAATCAATTGATGGTTTCTAAACAAGAAAACCAAGCTGAACTTGTTTGTATATTACATAAATAAATTAGCAGAGTTAATTTGTCATTTTTTCATCATTTTCACTTTAAAGTACTAAAGTTACAACTTGTTAGCATACCTGAAACTATGTTTTATATTATTAACTTATTAAACATATTTCTATGCAAACATTTTTCAAGTGTTTCAAATAAAATCAGAAACTTTTTTCTCGGAGATACCACTGCCGATAAAGAAAAATCTATATCTTTAAATTTTAATGTACTGAATTGTTTTTCCAGCTTTTTAATTTCTTGACATATTATATTTAAACATTTTGAGTAAGGAAATGTTGATTCTTTCCTTTGCCTTTATTTTTCAAATAAAATTACTGCAAGTGATAAGTTACTATATTTGGTAATAAGTGCTATCTTAAAATTGATAACTCTGATTAACTGCTGTAAAAAACATTTTACTTTATTAAATTAATACTTTTAATATTAAAATTTTAATGTCTTTTGTTTACAGCGAACAACTGTACGACAACGCTTTTTTTGTTATTAGTGGCAAAAGCTTGAGATGCTTAACAAATAATTAGAAGACGTTTTGGTTTAAAACAGTCACGATAATGCAGTCTGATGCATTCACTAAAGAACTACTTTTTAGAGTTTTTAGTAGCCACGGTCTTTAGAATTTCAGAAGACATTTTCTGACATTTATGATTTTCTTAATCACCTATATTTTCTGTGCTGTTTTTTCTCTTTAATTCTCATCTTTTAAAGACTGCAAAAATTTAGATGCGATCAGACAAGAAAAAACGTTACTCGCCGCCGAATTCGCTTCGTGTGGCTCCGCAACGTCAATGGCAGCCAACAGGACAAACCGCTACTACCACTCCATATACAAATCTTTATACCTCAAGAGCGACACCATCTGAGTAAGGCCATCAATATTCTGGCTTTTTAACCAGCTTTTAAAACCTAGAGACCGCAATCGTTCTTCAATGTACATAAGTCGAAACATTTAAGTGTACAACAACAATAAAAACAACAAAAACTGAACAATATAAAAATTTCTATAGAACCAGAAACAAACATATAAAGAGTTTATTTGAAGTTTGAAACTTGTCAATAAATGTATATTTAGACTAAAAAAAATAGAAGGAATAAGTTTGTTGCTAAAAAATTGCATTTATTGATACTACTAGCATTTTCAACTATTTTTTTTCTCTGTTTTTTAAAACACAATAAGAATGCTGGTTTCTACAGCAAAAGGTTTATTTTTCGTTCTTGAACTGTAAAGCATAAGCATTTTTTATAGCTAGCATAAAACATTTGAAAGCAAAAAATATGCTTTATAATTTGTTGCAGATATGTAGCACCACAATCACCTTTAGTGAATCCTCCACCGTCTATCATTCAAGCACAACCACCGATGAATTCACCGCGTGAACTTGGTGTTGATCCGACATATCGACCCGAGCAAACCCATTATTATCAAGAGGTATAACGATATTAACAACGTTTAGGAATATGGCACTAAGTATTATTAAATGTGAATAAGATAATTTTTTTTTCTGTTAAAAAAAAATGCTGTAAAAAGTCTGTATTTTTCAAATGAGCATTCTAATAGTAAGTATCGCGTTAGGATAAAAGTAAACGTTTATGAAAATCTGTATCTGAGAAGACAAAAAAAAAAAACAAAAAATTTAGTAAATTTTTTAGTATTTTCTATCTTTATTTTGTAGAGGTTAATCGCAGAACCAATTCAAACAACGCAGCATACCTGGCAAACAACAGTTAGTACACCAACACCGGTAACCACAGTTGTTGGATATGTGCAAAATCTACCGCAAACACCACCAGTTCCCACATATCATACATCATCTGTATAAAGTTTGATCTTCAAAATTTTACAAACTTATTGCATTTATTT